GTTGAGCAATTTCTAAGCTATCAGGGCACACCACCATCTCTTAAAACCAGGTCAAAATAAACACACTGTTGAGTTCACTCCTGCTATAATATAAGAGGTGAGAATGGAGATGTGTCAATTGAGATAGTTATTAATATATATTTTTCATTTTCTGAGAAAATACAACTACTTGCATTAGCTTATATTTTAGTCAAGATATAGGTTTTAAGCTGATACAATAGAGAGGCCCCAAATAATAGCAGCTTAAAAAAGTAGAAGTGTATTGTTCCTTCAGGTGAAAGTTTGGGTAGTTAAATGGTCCAGGGCTACTGAGAAGATTCTATAATTGACAGCAGCCATAGATCTTTCTGCTCTGTCATCTTCAATATGAAAGTTATAGCATAGATTCTAAGATGGCTACTCTAATGCTTGTCATTATTTCAGTATCTTAATGTAAAAGAAGGCAAGTTGCAAAGAGAAGCTATGTTACCTTCCTTTTAAGAGTTATACCTAGAAGTTGGACGTATTACTGTCCTCCACGTGGCTGTTGACTTCAAGGAAAGCTGGCAAGTGAAATCTTTTGCCTGGGCCCCATGTACCAAATTAGTTAAAACTATTATGGAAGAAAACGGAAATGTAAATTGGAAGCATTACAGTCCATGCCACAGCATTGTAATTTTTCCTCCGCTTCTCCCTATTAATCAGTTTCTAGCGCGTGCAAACATGTCTGCGTATACGGTCACATTCACTTAGGAGTGGATTCATAGGGATAAATTGGATACCTTGAGATTGGCAGTTACAAAAAGTAAATATGTTTATGAGGGATGCAGATAAGTAAAAGAAGCTTACTCTTCATTTAGTTCATTTTGCAAATGAATGGACAGGTCCAGAGAAAAAAAGTGATTTAAAGCAAGAAATTGAAAATATCTAGTTAGAAGCATAAGCTGTGATTATATTCTGCAATTTTTCTGTTAGACCTTATTCCTGCCACATCTTTGAGGAAAAATTGAGCAAGTTCCCAGGGAAAATATAGCTTCACTTTGAAGTATTAGGATTTTCTATGTATCATAGTACTTCCACTTCCTTAAATCTTTTGAAGAGAAATTATTTTTGGTCTATATGTTTTTTTTTGGTTTTCTGAAAATACAAGTGACTTAGGCTTACTTATTAATTTCAGTGCATTTTATTAATACTTCATTGAAAAGAAAATAATCATTATGTCCAGTTAAAGTTCTAATACAAAACTTGTAAAGGTTTATTTGGATTCCTGAATAATAAGCTTTAAAATTTCCATAAACTAGTACATTAAACTATAACCTATAGAAAGCATGCTCTGCCACCCTGAAGGTTGCTATAAAAAATTGTTTATGAAGTTCAGGCCAAGACTAAAACATGTTGAAATGGAGAGTTTTGAAAAATGTTCTGTATAGCAAAGGAGACCAAATCATGCTAAAGTGCAAAAAAAGACTATACATCAGTTTCCAGGCTACATTATTCAAAAAAAATACAACCATAAAAAAGGTAATAAGATTACGTTTTCACATTTCATGGCTAGTAAAGTGCATTAGGCTGCTCAGATATTCATAACTTACTGTGACATTTGGGAAGATTACATTTTGTAGTGCAGAGCCATTACTACAGTTCAGATAATAACGAGCCAATGCCTGCCCTTAGATTATGATCCCTGTCATTGGAAGCAAATTTGTGCTTTGAAGGTTGATCAGTTTCAAATAACTATTAGAAAGGGTTAACATGACACACTATAGACCCAGTGCCTGCTTTTTAGGTATAATAGATATGCATACATATAGTATATCAAATATGCCACACATTTTTATGTACCAATTTCTGCCATCAATTTTCTCCTTGAAAGGCATATTTCATAGTATTTAAAGCAATGAAGAAGTATTTTAAATACCTGTCTGGGTACTGCTTTCACAGTATAAACTCAATTTAAAAGCTGGTGAAATGGTTGTGTTTTTTTTTTTAAATTACTTACAAAAATTAATTCTATAGCTTCTTGGAAGGGTGGTTACTGCTGGTAATAAACACAGATCAAAATGAAAGGTTGATGTAAGTAATATTAAGGTGAAGGTAAGGTCTTTTAAGTTCACTGCAACTGGGTTTTTGACCACTTAGATCTGTGTGGAGGGTGTCCAAAGTGTAATATACTAAAAACTCGCCCTGTGCTCTCTCTCCCCAAATGCTCAGAGGCAATCACTGTTAAGCTTCTTGCGTTATCACTCCTGGGTATATGTCTATATGTATGTTTTTCACGCAAATTGTCGCCTACTTTTCACACTTTTCCACTTTGGTTTTCTCCAACAGTGTATTTTAGAGATCTTTTCATGTCAGCGGGAATCTGCCTCATTCTTTTCAATGGCTGCATAATACTCCATTATATAGTTACACACAACTTTGCTAACCATCACCTTATAATGTTTTCTTTGGGGGATTGTTTCTTCTATTTTTTTATTCAAAAAATGCTACAATGAAGTTCTTCTAACGTCTTTAGTAAATCTTTCTACAGAATACATTTCTAGTGGTTAAGGTACCCATTTCTGTGTGGCTTCTTTTATTTAACATAATTCTTTTGAGATTGAATCATATTGTTAACTGGGTCAGTAGCTCCATAACCAAATACTTTTCCTATTTATAGTAATTTTTCGTTGAAGGGCTTTGTTTTTCCAGATATTAAATAATTGTGATTTAAATCCCTGTACCCTGATATTTATACACGTTGCTGCCTTTTGACTAAACGTGACTTCTGTATTGCCAGAATAATATCAAATGATCGTGATGATAGTGTGTCCTAGTCTTGTTGCTAACTTTCATGGGAATCATTCAGATTTTCCTATTTGAGCATGATGCTGGCTTTTTCAGGTGTGATTCTGTATTTTACTATCAAAGAAAGTCTCTTCCCATTAATATGTGTAGAAAAAAAAGGAAAGTATGATGGAAATATAAAATCACCATTTAGCAATGCCACAGTAATCACAGTTGCAGGTAATATCCATCAATGGATTCTTAAAAATATGATGAGAAATAAGATATTTGTATAGTCTCAAAATATTCTCCACAAGATGCTTAAAAAATTAAAAAGAAATATGGTAACTTTAAAATGGAAAAATCCTGACAGATACCACCTGAACATGTTGATCACAGCTAACGTCCCCAATTGTGAGAAATATTTATATCCAGGTACCATTTGAAATGATACACTGAGAAGGACACACATCACTTGTGGGGCATTTTTTACCAAAAATGCATAACCTGAATCTAAACATGAAGGAAACATTGAGCTTGGAAGACAGTTTATAAAATAGCTGGCAAATATGCCTTCATAACGTCACCATTGTGAAAGTCAGAGAATGCCTGTGCTGCTGTCTCAGTTTGGAGAGGACGAAGGGGGGATGCTCATCCTGGATCGGAAAAAGGACGTTGGTGTGACAGGTGGCCACATTTGAGTGATGATATCTGTAGATTTGTTAGTGTTATTGTATCAATGTTAGTTTCCTGGTTTTAGTGATTATCCTGTGATTATGTAATCTATTTACATCGGGAAGCTGGGTGAAGGGTACACAGGAGCTCTGTTCTCTTTTGCAACTTTGGGACCTTTGGAATTGTTTAAGACTGAAAAAAGACAAAACAAGCAAATAAGGTTCACTCCCCCACCCTGCCCCCCCAAAAGTCTATATTAGAGTTTTTATGTAGCTGCACAGAATTTTTGGGTGGACTGGGGAACTAAGCGTAGCCAGGAAGGACCATGTGGCTGGGAGAATTGGCCCAATTACACCAAGGGCTGTCTTAGCAGAAGCCCAGCTGTCATTGCCTTATGCTGCGTGTTACTGATGATGCAAGAATTTTACACGAAAACCTCTGCCAGAGCTGTCCTAGATGAATCAACTGCCTTTAACACTGTGCTTCGAGGAATTCTTACCTCCCTGTATGCACACACTGCCTCATGTTCATTTTCCCATTTTCCCCTTCTCATGCCAGTGTATATCTTCGGCAGAACCTGGGACACACATTGATCCCTGGCTGCAAGGAGTTTTAATTGATTTCCTAATTCTGAGCCTTCCTTGCTTTTGTGGAGTAAACTTTATTTGGTTATGTTTGTTGTTATTTTATGGGCTGTTGGATTTTGTTTTGTAAAGTTCACTTTCCCCTAATTCTTGCCTACGTTTTGGGTTTAGGAATGCTCAATGAAAAACCAAGAAGTGTTCAGAAAGACACAAGTGTAGGTGACCTTTTTAAAATTTAGTTTTAAAGGATAGGTCTGCAAAGGTAATTGTAAAAGTATTTTAATTCTATTGAACAATTGGAATTTGTTAAAATTGGGAAGACACTGTGGGTGAGATGGTAAGGTGTGGATAGGTCAGTACAGCTTTCTCTGCATGGATTTTGTGATAGTCATAGCAATGAAATAAATTTTCTTGATTACTACCTTTGGGTGTGTGACTAATTATGTTTACGCTATCCTGATTAGTGACAGGGAAGGCGAGGGATCCAAATGGATAGGTATAATAAACCAGGAATTGAACAAATATAAACTCCAAGTTTTGTATCTGCTCGGAGGCTTTTTCAGCTTTTCAGTTTGCTGTGAGCCCATACCTTACATAGGTAGCCAAGGCCCTTTAGGTTGCTACGAGTAGTTCACAGACTTCATAATTCATAAATGAAATATTGAATTAGAAGCAATTATAGAGCTAAGTTAGATCTTTATTTGTATCAGGGCAGTAGGTAGTGATTTACCTAAGACATCTTGTATTTGTTTTTGTTGAAAAATAGTTCCATTTTTATATTCTAAATCTTGCTTGACTGTACTATATTAACTTAAAGATTTCTTTGAGGATTTTAGAGGTTTTTTTTTTTAAGACCTTTTTAATGTTATAGGGGGTAGAGAAGAATGTGTGGGTAGTTATTGACAATCTAGAGTTTAGGAGCACGCTCTAGTTATGTTGAAGAAGCGCTAATGCTTTGTTTGTTTGTTTGTTTGTTTGTTTGTTTTCTTTTGGAAGTTGGTCGGAGGGCAGTTTGATTTGGAAATGAATTTCATTATCCAAGAAGGTGAGAGTATCACCTGCATGGTGGACCTCCTGGAAAAATGTGACATTACTTGCCAAGCAGAAGTCTGGAGCATGTTTACAGCCATCCTGAAGAAAAGCATCCGGAATCTTCAAGTCTGCACCGAAGTAGGCCTTGTGGAAAAAGTGCTGGGGAAAATTGAAAAAGCTGACAATATGATAGCAGGTATGACTGTTTCTAGAGCACACTGAATGTGAAGAAATAAAATAGGATTCCTACATACTGTGTATTGCTTAGTAATATTTATTTACGAAATATTTGAGCAGCTAACATATGTTGTACCTGGAACTTTAGTGTCCAAACTCTTAAGTAAGCACAGTATATTTTAATCCTTTAAGAAGTATAAGTAGCTTAATTATTTTATTGTTTTCTTTGTTTCCAGATCTTTTAGTTGACATGTTGGGAGTGCTGGCTAGCTATAATTTGACAGTTCGAGAACTGAAGCTATTCTTCAGTAAACTTCAAGGAGATAAAGGACAATGGGTAAAAAAATCCTAAATACTCTTTGGTATTTGAAAGTATAAGAGGGATCAAATGTCAAATTGAGGGGAAGAGATGAACTAAAATAGCATTTACATCTATACAGTTACTTTTGCCATGACCCGAAAGAAGTGTGGACTAAGAGACTTGGGTGTTCCAGGCACTTGGTCCTTATTCAAGTTGTTATTCTTCAGTATACAGTCAACATTTTTGGAGGAAAAGGATAAGGACAGAAAAATAAAAGTGTTAGATAGCAGCACCTCGCTTCTCTTTCTGTTGATCTGCGTAGTTTACCTGTGGCCCTTAAAAGTGATTAACCCCCTCGGTGAACGAAATCCCTGCAGTTATTTGGATCCACCCTCCGTAGATGCAATTTAGTGGCCCTTTGCATGGGTGGTAGTGCTTCAGCTTATTTTGAACTCCAGTTCTTTATCAAACTGTTTCTTACTTTGCTATTTACTCGTTAGCGGAATACTAGTGAATATTTTCTCTATTTTTGTTTTCGCATCTAGGCTTCTTTTAGTGTCCTGTAAAAATCATTGCCCATAGCAACTGCTCAGCCAGCTGATCCTTAATTTAGCTATGTGTAAGCATGCTGAAATTTGTGCTCTGCAATTATACACTCTAATTTATTGTGTTAAAATGGATGGACTCTTTAGCTTGTTTGTATCAATCTCTAGTTCTCTGGCTGCTTTTAAGATTTTATCTCTGATTTTCAGCAATTTTATGTTTCTTGGTATGGTTTTCCTTGTGTTTGTTTATCCTTCTTAGAGTTCTTGAATCTATGGGTTTATAGTATAATTATAATCAAATTTGGAAACACTTTAGTCGCTATTTCTTCAAGTATCATGTTTTTGTCCCTCCCTCCCTCCTGGGGACTCAATTGCATACTCGTTAGCCCCCTTGAGAGTGTCCCAGTCCCAGAGAGCTGGTCACCTGTCTTCCCAGTCTTCCTCTTTGTGCTTTATTTTAGATTGTTTTACTGCTGTATTTTTAAGGTAACATCTTTTCTTCAGCAGTGTGTTCATTCCATTCATCCATTAAAAATTTCAGATTTTTTAATTTCTGTAAATTTCAGATATATTTTATTTCTGTTAATTTTTTAAATAACTTCCATTTTACCTCATTATGTATGTCTTCTTTTAAATCTTTGGTAATATTTAGCATATTTTAATAATTGCTTTAATGTACTTGTCTACTAATTCTACCATCTCTGTTATTTTCTAGATGAGTTTTTCACACACTGAGTTTGCTTCTGGTTATAGGTCACATTTTCCTGCTTCTAATGCTAGAGATGTTAGACATAGTGATGTTAGACATAGTGAATTAGTCCTTATGTAGTGCTGGATTTATCATATTTCTTTTAAAATGTTACACTGGTTTTGCAGGCAGATAAGTTACTTATGGATTAACTTTATCGTTTCAGGCTAGTTTTAAAGTTTTTTGGGGGGGGCGTCAGGTCTAGTTTGGCTGTTGCTCTGGAGTTAGTTCAGCCTTATTCATGCCTGACTTTTCTAGGGTCTCTCTATGAGTAACCCTAAGTCTCCGACATTGGGGAAAACGTAATGCAGAGTGGTCTTACCACAGTGTCTATCAGGTTCTTAAATAATTCCTGGGTCTATATTAGCTCTGGGAATCCTTTGACCTATATCTGTTAATACCTTGGCCTCACCTTGTTGAGATAGTTTATTTATTTATTCATTTTTAATTTTATTGGGGAACAGTGTGTTTTTCCAGGACTCATCAACTTCAAGTCAAGTAGTCGTGGAGGGTGCAGCTCAGCGGCCCATGTAGGGGTGGAACCGGCAACCTTGGTGTTGGGAACACTATTCTCTAATCAACTGAGCTAACCGGCCGCCCCACCTTGTTGAGTTTTAAAGTAGAAGTGAACGGTTTGGCATTAAGCCTAAGAGTCGTTGCAGATTCCTGGAGCTTCTTGTCTGCATAGCTCTTTCCCCTGTAGTACTCTGCCCTGAACCTTCTCTTCACCACAGACAACCCGTACTCCAGATCTCACCTCATCGACTCAATGGGACTTCACAGTTGTATTTGATTTCCCTGTCTGTGTGCAGTGACAGGAAATGACTCCAGGTAGAAAGCCTGGGTAACCTCATGGCTCATTTTATTTCTTTTCTACAGGATCACAGCCTTGAGCTACCTTTTTTTCATGTCTGAAAACAGTTTTCATTTCATACCTTTTGTCCCATTTTCTAGAGTTGGTAAGTTTAGGTCCTATTACTGTGTCATGTCCAGAAGAGGAAGTGTATACTGGTTTGATTTTGGTTTTGACTTACATTGGAATAATTTATTCTGAATGTATAATAAATTTTTGTTACTGGTGAATGTAGAAAACTGTAAGAAAACAGCAAAGGATATAACCAGATAGTTATTCACAGAGATAGAAACCCCACAATCAAATAAACATAAAATCACTAATAATGAGAGACGTTAAAAATAAACAATATTGGTATGTCATGTTACATTTATTAATATCGAGGATTATAAAGTTGGGTAATAGCAAGTATAATTGGGGAGTAGGGTTATTTTAAATCTGTGTGCTATTGAGTGGAATGAACACCAGTCGAGCCAACCTCAAGACTAATCTAGCTCTACTCAGTCACATAAATTATACCCGTATTCAGTGCCTTAGTAATTTGCTCCTGACTGCATGTTCCAAGAGATTCTCTTATAGATCTGTAAGGAAATATACACGAGGATGTTCACTGAAGCATATTTGTGATGGCATTGAATTATTAACATGGGTGATTGTTGTTAGAGTATGTAGATAATATGTATTGAATGCATAGAATAGATTATTACACAGCAGAATCAGTGCAGTGAGTAAGCTGAATAGATGCAAAAAGCAGGAAGAAAGTAAGAAACAATGATATATCTAATCTCACATTGTTTAAATAAGTACAGTCACACAAAAACACATTTTTGAAGGAAGTCATATAAAAAGATTAAACATGTTAATGTAGTTGCTTATGGGGTTAGGATAGGAAATAAAGGGAACAAATAATGAGGTCTTAATGAAACTGCCTTGCGCACACATTTGTTACATTTATGTAGCTTTTGCTATCACTTCAGCACAGAGAAAAATCCCTCCATCTAAACCTCTATCTGCCTTTCTAATTATTACTATAGTACTGATTTTTACATACGGAAAGAGTGTATCGATGAGCATGAACATTTTTAAAGACTCTTGAAACATGACTACTCAATTATTTTCTGAAAGGCTTTCCTAGTATACAACCCCTCAGCAGTGAATGTGGAGGGAAAGTGCTTATCTTAATGTCTTTTTATTGTTGATTGGTTTATAGAAAAGGAAATTTACAGTAGTGATTTCTCTAGATGGAAATGCTACGATACTGTATTTTTATTTTTGACGTTATTTTTTATTTTATTTTGGAATTTATTTTAAAAAATCAGTGTGATTGTAGTTACTTGGTACAGTTTTATAATAAGCAGTGTGGCTAATTGAAAATTTCTTGATCACTTAGGAGTGAGATTTCCACTTAATGTTTAGGTAAAAAATTGCTGAACTCTTTTAGACAATCACAACTTGTAGCTACTAAATAAGATGAAGGGAAGCCAGTGATTTCACTTGTAGTTTGACACTGTTTTGACCTTGTAACTTTTAACAAAAGTTACTACACTTTACCTTATTTGCTTGTAAACTGATTAAAATGATAATGTATATCTGATTGTCCTTTTCCTTGTAAATGTAAATGAGCTTTTTTGTTTTGGCTCTTGGTTGTTTAATGCATTATAGGAGATTGTGGGCCAAGGGGCATTAAATAAATGTAATATCATGACTTTTATACATGCTATAATAGTAGAGGCATATTGTAGAATGAAATGTGATAGGGAGATTTGATCCAGTCACAGAGGTCAGGGGAGACTGCTGTGAGGAAGTGACCATTAAGATGAGCTCTAAAGGGTGGATAAGATTTGTTAAGAGGGGAGGGAAGTAGGCCTAGTGAGAACATTTTGAGCACAAGGGAATAGCCTGTGTTCAAGGCCCTGCTATGGGAAGAAGACAGAGAAGGCATTGTTGACGCAGTGCAGAGAGAAGGGGAGATTGAGATGCAAAAGAGGCTAACGAGGTAGATAAAGTATCTTGTAGGCCATGTTAGGAGGTTTGATCTTTATTTTAAGGGCAGTAGGAAGCTACAGGAAAGATAGAATAATCTAAAGGTGAAAGTGTAGTGGTTAAAGGCATGGACTCTGAGTCAGACTGAGTTCTGATCCCATCCTTGCCACTTGCTACCCGTGTCACCTTGGACTGTTCCTCTGCCTCAAACCCCTTCTTTATAAAATGGGATAATAATCCCTAGTGTGATTATAAGGTTAAAAAGTATTTTACCATTTTTAAAGTGCCCTTGAAGGTAAAACACAGTAAGCGTTATTTATTTGTGAAATTAAAAAGTGTTTTAAAGAGGGATGGGTGGTCGATTGATTTACTTCCTAATTTTATTTATTTTTTAAAGATTATTTTTGCTGCAGTGTGGAGAAGAGGTTCAGTGTCAAATGATACTGGCTTATATATACCGCACACCTCATATGTCTTATAGTATTGCCAAAAGAATGGCATAGAGTACGTCGCTTATTCCTTTAAGATAGTTGAAAATCACCTTTCTTTGGTTTATATTTATTTTAGATGCTGTTTATTTTAGAGCATTATTGGGTTATTCTTGGATATAGGTGTCTTTGTGTTATGGTGAAACTGCGGTTAATGAATTTGTTGGTTGCTTTTACAGCCTCCGCATGCTGGGAAGTTGCTCTCTGTGTTAAAGCATGTGCCCCAGAAGTACGGTCCTGATGCCTTTTTCAGCTTCCCGGGAAAGAGTGCTGCAGTAAGTGGATCTTAATGAGGAAGTCACTTGGAGTCCTTTCCTTTGCTTCCTCAAAGCACAGCCCTGTCAACAGCCCTGACAGGTTCTGCGTTAGGTGGAAACTTTGCACCACCTTAATCATTACAGCAATTGTGCATGTTACTTTTTCCTAACAGTTTCAGAGGTGAAGAAATAGAGGCGCAAAGGAGTCACGAAAGCCGCCAACTCACACACACCTTGGGGCAGCAATGGAATAAGATCCCAGTTCTTTTTAACAGTCATATTGTTGAATGGATTTATCTCTGCATTCCAGATATTTGTAACACTTGCACTTTTATCTTTCTGCACATCTTTATTTGGCCTCCTAGTTCCCTGTTCCTGTTTCTGTTACACCTGTTGTACAGAGTGAGAGTAGCTATTTGAAACTTTCTAGGCACGTTTTCCTGACTTGTGAGTTTCCATAGTATATCAATCTTAGTATTCTTATAAGCTGTTGATCAGTTTCTAACTAAAACAATGATGTATGCAGTAACATCTGTAATGTTTCAAAATATTATAGGAGGACATTATGTAATATATATATATGTTTGGTCTTTATGGAAACTTTTTGTCCTTCTCATTATTAAGCTGGTCTGCCTGTTACGAAGCAAACATTTTGTTAAACATATTTCAGCCTGTCCTTTTTCTGAGCTTACCTTTTATTCACTTTTTACTTTGGTTCTCATAATCCCTTACATACTTGTTAGACGCCATGTATCCAGGTAATGCCTGTAGAAAGAAGAGTGTTTTAAAAGGACATTTGTGATAATGGAATGTTTTACACATAGTGTACAGCTTTCTTTGGAAAGTTTTATTGCTCATATTGGTTTTTTTTCTTTATATTTCCTTCATAAGCTTTTTAGATTTGAAGCTTTCCAGAATCATTTGACTCTGTTGGAACTGAGCTTATCATTTGTCTTTCACATAAAAGCGTATTCTCATGAGATTAACCTTATTTGAATGCATATTATAATTTTATTTATAATTCTCTGAGACTGTAATGTGTCCATTCCACTTGCACGTATCTTGGAAGTGCAGCTGTTAAGCTAAAAAACTTTGGAACTTATAGAGGATAGATGTTTTAACTGTATTCAGTGACATTTATTTCCTTAAACATATTTTTTATTTAAAAAATATAATTTATTGGGGTGACAATGGTTAGTAAAATTACATAGGTTTCAGGTGTACAATTCTGTAATACATCATCTATATATCACATTGTGTGTTCACCACCCAGAGTCAGTTCTTTCCATCACCATATCCCTTTTACTCTCATCTCCCTTTACTCTCTGGTAACCATTAAACTATTGTCTGTCTATGAGTTTTTGTTTCTTTGTTTGTTTGTCTTGTTCCATAATGGAGTACTACTTGGCCATAAGAAAAGATGAAATACTGCCATTTGTGACAAAATGGAGGATCTTGAGATTATCATGCTAAGCAAAATAAGTCAGACAAAAAAAAGCCAAGAACCATATGACTTTACTCATATGTGGGATATAAAACTGAAAGCAACAAAGGAACAACAAAGGAATAAACATAGTTTTTAAAGGGAAGTTAAAGTAATCATGGATGAATTATTTTTACAAAGCTTTTACATCTCTCATTTTTTGGTGAGAGAACATATATACACACTGACAATTCCTTTCTTATTTTTCCTTAATACAACATTAATTTTAATCAGCCTCTTGAAGTCTCAGTAGTGTTATTACATTAAATTTTACAGTTTGATGTTTTTCATGTTTTATGGAATATCTTATACAAATAAAAGAATATCCAAGTATGTGTATATATGAGATATATGCATAAATGCCTATATAAATTATAGTAACAAAACAAAAACTTGTGTGTGATTTTTTAAAAATATAGTTTTATTGAACTATAATTAACATATACCACACAGTTCACTCATTTGGAGTATACAATTTAATGGTTTAGTGTTCACAGAGTTGTGCAACCATAATCACAATCAATTTGGGAACATTTTCATCACCTCCCAAAGAACCCACCCCTATTCATTGATAGTCACTGCCTATTTCCCGCCAACCTCCCAGGCCGAGAAAACCACTGGTCTACTTTGTGTCTGTATGGATTTATCTGTTCTGGACAGCTCATACAAATGGAATCAGTCAATATCTGGCCTTTGTGATTGGGTTTTTCATTTAGAATACTGCTTTGTCATGGTCCATGTCATAGCATGTCTCAGTGCTCCATTCCTTCTTTATGACTAATATTCTAAGGTAAGAAGATAGCACATTTTAGTTATTCATTAATTAGTAGCTATTTGAGTTGATTCCACTTTTTGGGAATATTGCAAAGGGCTTTTGTGTACAAGTTTCTGTGTGGACATATGTCTTTATTTCTCTTATGTGTGTGTGTGTGTGTATCTAGGAGTTGGATTGCTGGGTTATATTGTCCACGTTTAACCATTTGACTTCTTATTTGTTTTCTTGAGCAGCTGTATCATTTTACTATGCCAGAAACAATTTGTGAGGGTTTCAGTTTTCTCCATATGCCTGCAAAAAAAGGACATTATTTTGTGAATGTCTTTTTACAAAATTATTTTGGCCATCATAGTGGGTGTGAAATAGTGTGTCATTGTGGCTTTTATTTGCATTTCCTTATTGACTAATGATGTTCAGCATCTTTTCATGTCTTTATTGGCAATTCGCCTGTCTTTGGAGACATGTCTCCAGACATTTTGTCCATTTTAAAATTACATTTGTCTTTTTATTGAATTGTAAGAGTTCTTTATATATTTTGGATGCATGTTCCTTATCAGATATATGATTTGCAAATTTTTTCATTCTTTTGCCTTGTCTTTTCACTTTCTTGATGGTATCCTTTAAAGCACAAAAGTTTTAAATTTTAATAAAGTCCAGTTCATATATATTTTTGTTGTTGTTGCTTGTGCTTTTGGTGGCATAATTAAGGATTTACCTAACACCAGTATCATGAAGATTTACCTATTTTTTCTTGTAAGAGTATTATACATAGTTTTAGCATTTTCATTCAGATTAACAATCCATTTGGGATTATTTTTTGTATGTGATGTAAGGAAGTGGTCAACTTCACACTTTGCTTGTAGATATCCAGTTATCCCAGCACATTTGTTGAAAAAACTATTTTTTCCTATTGAATTGTCTTGATACTCTTGAAAATCAATTGACCACAAAGATAAGGTTTATTTCTGGGATTTCAATTCTATTCCATTGACCTATGTCTCTGTTCTTATGCGAATAACACACAGTATTTTTTATAGCAGCTTTGTGTTGTAGGTTTGGAATTTGGTAGTATGAGTCCTTCAACTTTGTTTTTCTTTTTCAAGATTGTTTTTGGCTATCCTGGGCCCTTTACATTACTATGATCAGTTAAATAAAATTTTAAATCAAGTGGTAAAGTCATTTATATAGTGACTTCTGAATAAAATTTAAAAAGTTATGAAAAAAATGTTATGAACTAGTCCTCTTTGTCTTTATATTTGCTGTTAAAAAAATCACATTCCAAGCTTTTCCCTTACCTTTGTTCTTTCCTTTCTTATTCATCTTTCTCTATTCTATTACCTTAACATTTTGGCAACAAAGTTCCAATTTGATATTACCACCTATCTCTTTTAATTGGAATCTCTTTGATATGTTCATTGTAAGAAATAGAGCAAACACATTACTGTGTCCAGCAGGTCACATAGAATCTTTGTATTGTTTAAATTAATATCATTACTGTGTATTTTGGAAAATTGAGAAATTAAGTTTCTTCCAGATAAAGTGACTTCTTTTAGATATTTTAATCATGACAGAATAATATGTAGTGTTATAGAATCTCATTTTCATGATTTCACTCATCAAGCTTTTCATGTGAGTCAATAACTCCAAGTTTTTTTCCTTTAGGCTATCGCATTACCTCCTATAGCCAAATGGCCATACCAGAATGGTTTCACATTTCATACCTGGCTTAGAATGGATCCTGTAAATAACATCAATGTGGATAAGGATAAACCATATTTGTATTGGTATGTATTTCTGTACCTTAGTGTTACTATCTTACTTTGAAAATGAAAAGAATATTTAGAGGTAAAATGAAAACCTATTCTTTATAGTTTCAGAACCAGCAAAGGTCTTGGTTATTCTGCTCACTTTGTGGGGGGCTGTTTGATTATAACCTCAATAAAGTCAAAAGGAAAAGGCTTTCAGCACTGTGTGAAATTTGATTTCAAACCACAAAAGGTATGTAATCTTACTGAGTCATACTAACAAGCTATGCTAGACTTTAGAAAGCTTTATTTTAATGTTATTGACATAATATGTGGTAAATCACAACTCTGTTTATAAAGCTTCAGAAAATGAAGTATAAATCCCTGGACTGTTGTTAACCTCTCTAATTTGGATAATAAAATAAAGTGGTATTTAGTTATTAGAGAGTTTAATGGAAATACAAGGGGAAAATATCAATGGCAATTATTTTAGTACACTTACTAGTAGTGGTAGTAATATGTGTTTTCTTTGGTACTTTAAAATTTGGAGATTAATAAATGGTTTATAAACAAAATGAGTATATATACATATATAGCTAGATGGGTATATAGATAAAACTAATATGACAAAATATTGACAGTTGTGGAATCTAGGTGGCAGGAAAGAGGGTGTTTGTACTAAATTTTATAGTTTTGGGGGGTTTATTAAAAACATTTCATAATAAAACATTGGATGGAAAATAACTTCATGATTAAGTTCTTACCCATTGAATAAATATTGTTCCAGAGGTTGAGTATTGAATTTAGTAAAGGAAGTCATTTTATTTTTAATTGTAATTTATCATTTCATTTTTACTTGTTATCAGTGTGTTTATTAGAAGGATAATTATCTTTTTTCTTTTTAACTAATTTTGCTTATTTAGTGGTATATGGTAACTATAGTGCACATTTATAACCGATGGAAGAACAGTGAGCTTCGATGTTATGTAAATGGTGAACTAGCTTCCTATGGAGAGATAACATGGTTTGTCAACACCAGTGATGTAAGTAGTTTGAAAATGTTACAATAAAAAAATTATTTTAAAAGCATGAACTTTTCAAATAATAAAAATATATTTTGCATTGAATGTAAATTTTAGAATACCACAGTGGTAGATTTTTACATGTTAATATATTAGTAGAATAGAACTGTGTTAATGTGACATAACATATTACTCAGTCCTTGTTATAAAATTATTGTAGTTAAGTTAGAGATAAAGATTTATTGGTAACAGTGGGTATAGCTTCACAGTGTGTGTCATTGGTCTGTTGATCACATTAAACTTGTGAGCTTTACTTACAGGGTTCTGATCATTTTTATGAATGACTTACATGATGCATACTTAAAAATTTTGCATATAACTTGTAGCTGCCATAGATTACTATTATGTTTTCAGGATTCAAAAAGAGACCTATAGGTTAGGATTAAATTCAAATGTTCTTTTTCCCCCAATTACATTTTTTAGTAGAAAACTTAAAAAATACAGATCAGGGAAATGAATACAAACTGTATCACCCATTCACCATTAACTCCTTTTATATCCTTTGCTATGTGTGTGTACATATTGTGGAATGCTAACCTTAAGAGCTCAGGTTGTTATAACAGATGGACTTAGGTTTGAATATCAGCTGTGTCACTTACTGACTATATCTCCTAACTTGATTTATTAGGCCTAAGTTTTCTCCACTTAAAAATGAGTATAAAATAGTACCTATCAGAGAAGTTTAATGTGATTTTTAAATAAGATACTGTTCACAAATCCATTGGCAGAGTGCTCAATAACTATTCTCATTATTGGATTGTTTTTTAACCTGTTTTTCCTTACATTAACCTTTATCGAGTGCTGCTTGTATTCCAGGCATTGTAATAAATACCTTTCAAGATAGTAAGTGTTGTTATAATCTCCATTTCTACAAGTTAGACTGAAGTGCAGAAAAGTTAAGTAACTTGGCACAATCAGCAGCCTGTGAAGCACTGAATTGACCTAGGTGGTTTGTCTTCAGAACCCAAGTGTTACAACTTTTCTATATTCCCTAATGTTAATACATACATAGTTTTGAACATTCTAATGGTTTCGCGTATAAGATGATACTTTCAAAGAGATATGAAGAAATTTACTTCTTTCCCTCTTTGTTGTACACATGGATTTTTAAAAGGTGGTTTTTGTAACCTGGATGTTGTTACTAGAATATTTTTTATGTTAGAAGGAAACACATACACCTGCTTTTCTGGATTTACACATTCCTTTTGAGGGATTAAATCTACTCCCACGACTTCACCCATTATCTATATCTTGATGTCTGAAAAAAATCTGTCTGTACAGTTTTAACTTCTCATAAACTTACCGAACCCTGTTGGTAATTCCTTCTCCATCCACATTAACTCACAGAGAAGACAGTCATTATGTCCCAAACTTAACTCATGGTTTTTCTCCTTGCTCAAAGCCTGCTCTTGTGTCTGGTTCTTGTGTTGGCTAGTTATAAACCTTCAGAGTTGAAAATGATTTCTCTGACCCCGTTTCCTACATTCACTTTGTCATTGTTTTGTTTATTGTTCTCTGGAAAACATATCTTATTTCCTTTTCTGTGATGTCTTCTTGACCTCTACACCAGATGGGAGTGAATGAAGTGTAATGCTAAATGAATTATTTTAATCTATTCAGATTATAATTTAGAATGGACAAAACATTTATATCAAAATAGGTTGTTATTTCTGGAGGAGGTATTTTTTTCTTTTTCTCTCTAATGAAATCTGTTTTCTTTCACAGACCTTTGACAAATGTTTCCTGGGCTCATCAGAAACAGCAGATGCTAACAGAGTGTTCTGTGGTCAGATGACTGCAGTTTACCTTTTTAGCGAAGCTCTTAATGCAGCTCAGATTTTTGCTATTTATCAGTTGGGCTTGGGATACAAGGTACTTGACTTGCTGTCCACTGCTTAACCAGTGTTAGTTAAGCTTGATTTAGGTGGGTGATGGGGCAACTTACCTTGGGTTACCAACTGAATGTCAGAGTAACAAGGGGCACCACCATGAAGTCACAGGAGTCCAAAGGGCACTTAAACTTTTTTGGGGAAACAGTGTACTTGTCATATGTGGGGCACTAGCTTAAGTTTCAACTTTGATTCATGCTGCATTTCTTTTGAGGATGTCATATCTTTGCACAACTAACTTTTCAGTAGTTGCTGTGATAAAAGGCAATATCATGTAAAAATGAATGTGAAACAGGAAATGAGGATGAGGTATGAAGTCTGATTCCACAGTTGGAGAACTTGTGCAGTGCCCAAGATGAATAGACACCTCATTAATAAGTAATTTTGCTAATATAATAATGAAGGAAACATCTTATTTTTCTTTCAACCTGTGCATTGTTTGGATCAAACTACCTAATAAACAGAAATGTTCAATGTTTATTTTGGTCTAGAGAACCATAAAAAATTACTGAGAAGCTAAGAGTGTCATGAATCAAGAAAAGGTGGGAACCTTTAGGTTAAGTTGCTGTTAGTCTGTATTGGTTTCAGGGAGAGAAACCAATGTCTGCTGGGTTCCTTCGAAAACAAATCAGCTTTATTGAGTTGATTTCCAGTCAACTTAATTTATCATTATAGTCAATAAAGTATACGTATATAAAATTATCATATGATCACGCATTCTTCTGTGTATATATCCAGAATAATTGAAAGCAGATCTGAAAGATATTTGTGCACCCATGTTCATTGCAGCATTATTCATAATAGCTGAGAGGTTGAAGCAACCTAATTGTCCTTGGACGGATGACTAAAGGAAGTGTGGTATATACATACAATGGAATATGGTCCAGCTTTAAAAAAGAAGGAAATTCTGTTACATGCTGCAAGAAGGGGGAATCTTAAGGACATTATGTCAGTAGCAAAAAGACAAGTACTCTGTGACTCCACTTAAATGAGTTATATACAGTAGTCACACTCATAGCATCGGAAAGTAGAACGGTGGTTGCCAGGGAATGGGAGGAGGTGGAAATGAGATGTTGAAGGGTATCAAGGTTCAGTTTTGCAAGATGTAAAGGTTCTAGAGGCATGTTGTACAGCAGTGTGCATATAGTTAACACTGCTGTACACTTAAAAATGTTTAAGAGGATATGTTTTGTGTGCTTTTTATCACAATTTTTAAATAAGGAAACAAAGACAAAGTGAAAAAAAAAGACAGAATACATCCTGTGGGACACGAAGTTTTACATTTTTTAGATGCAAAGTTTTAATGTCAAGTTGACTAATTTCCCATTATATCTTTACAATGAAATCGTTTCACTTCAGAGGTGATGAAATGTGCAGGGCTCCGCCTGTTTGGTAGCGTTAGGACAATGATCAGTGGCATGTCTCCTGACATTTTAGTACCTGCGGTGATTTGTATCTAGATTTTCTTTGTGTGGCATACAGTCTTAACGGTTGTACTTTTTATTCTTAGGGTACATTTAAATTCAAAGCAGAAAGTGACCTGTTCCTTGCTGAGCATCACAAGCTTTTACTGTATGATGGCAAGCTGTCTAGTGCCATTGCGTTCACATACAATCCTCGCGCTACGGACGCCCAGCTCTGCCTCGAATCATCCCCTAAGGACAACCCTTCAATTTTCGTTCATTCTCCACATGCGCTCATGCTTCAGGTACTAACTAGATCCTTTGAAGCATATTTTCAGTGGTTAATTTTGATGTATTACTGACGTGTATTTGGTAACTTCTGTTAAACACACGCAATGTAACATTTTATTGTTCCTGGTATGCTTTATTTTGAGTTGTTTTGGAAAAGAAATCATTGGAATTTTCATGGTGTCTTCTGTTTTATAAGGACGTGAAGGCAGTTTTAACACATTCCATCCAAAGTGCAATGCATTCAATTGGAGGAGTACAGGTGCTGTTTCCGCTTTTTGCTCAGCTGGATTATCGGCAACACTTATCTGATGAGGTTGACTTGACTATTTGGTGAGTGCCATTGTTTTCTCCTTTAATTTGATGTGAGTTACTTTCATCATTGTTGAGCTGCACAGTATTTTTTCCTCCTTTTAAATTTGTTGTAGGGTTTTTTTTGTTGTTTAATTTTATTATTATTATTATTATTTTTAGCTGAGCCATCCTGCCACCTGTTGGCAGCTCAGCTCGGGCCGGGATTCGAACCGCTGTTGCTCAGAGTTCACGCTCTTAAGCGAGCTCTTAACCAACTGAGCCACTCGGCCGGCCCTGTTGTAGGGTTAAAGGAGAGAATAATGTAAAGAAATTTGTGAACTATGCTGTTACAAATCCATGTTGATAATAATCGTATTAATTTAAATTCTTTATCAGTAGGAAATATGGAAGCTCTAGAAAACAAAGTTTTTTAAATTAAGTTAGAAATAGTGATAATGGACTTATGAGAAATGAATACATTTTTGTTTAACATTCTAATTAAAAACATTAAAAATTTTTTTGGGCACTGATTTATTACAGGGATTTAGCTTTTCATATTGATTGCATTGAAATCTAAAAATTTTGATGATGTTATATAATCGGTGATTTAACCTTTTTTTATTAGATTTTATAGTTGGCACGTTTGTCTCCTCTGATATAGTGCTGAGTCTAAATAAGGCAGAGACTTATGAATTCTAGGATAAGTTATAAAACTTCAGAGAGGATTTATAAATTAATTTTTCATAGCTGTATATTCTGGTGAAACTATAGTAAAAATAATTATATTTAATTTTTATTTGAGTAAAGGAGTTTTTCATTCTCATGTTTGAAAATCTTTCTCTGATTCCTGCTTTTATACATAACTTGTCTACTACCAATGTATATATAATATATATTAATGATGTGATAATTTTCTCCAGATTAATTTTAGGCAACAACATAATTTTTTTTTTGAGGAATCAGTTATCAAATCTAGTGTTTATTGACTACATTTTTAAAAATTAAAATTATCTTTGGCATATTACTACATATTTTTTTTCCCCCACACCCTGGTATAAAATCCCTGTTATGAGGCTTAGTTATTTTTTCCTTGGTTATTTATTTATTTATTTACTTTTAACTTTTCCACCTCTTTATTGGAATTGCTGACGGTTTAAAGTAATTTTGTGGCAGACGCTGACAGCCAGTCATGTTTCCCTTTTTTTGTGGGAATCTTAGAGAGTCTTTGAGGAGGTAACAGCTGACCTTATTTCATTCCATTTTGGGTCCCTCTAAAAGTTGTGAGGATGGGACGAGCATGGCTCTTTAATTTTAAAAGTCTTTTCAACTGACTGTTCAATTATGATTTTTCTGTTGGAATAATGAACAGAGTTCTTAACTAAGTGTTTGAGGACTTCAGTTTTTCTTCAGCTTTACTCTGCTCCATTCCAAGCTGGCCAGTCTGGAATCCTAACATACATTGAGGATTTCTACCTTCGTCTGCTTGCTCCACGTATCTTTCCCCTTTAATTCTCCAAAATTGAATATACTTGATGATCTAAGATAGATCTATTCTTTAAGGCCTTTGTAGACTTATGTTAACTATTTTATTGTTTGTTTTTGGACATTGCTAATTTTTCTCTATTTTGTGACTGATAGAGGTAATTTTAGTAGAACTTCAATTTCCTTGAAATAGAGAACTTTTTAGTAAGAGAAACGATGGCCGACATCTATCTAACTTATTTTTTAATACAAAATGTTTTAAAACCATGGCCTTTTTTCTTATTGCAGCTCAACTTTGCTGGCTTTTATCATGGAGCTCTTGCGGAACTCAATTGCTATGCAAGAGCAGATGCTTGCCTGCAAGGGCTTTTTGGTGATAGGATATAGTCTTGAAAAGGTAAAGTACGCAGTATTTTCTACTTTTTTAACTCTTTATTTGCAGGCCATGGACTTGGTCTACTAACTGGTTGAGAAATTCTGTCTGCAAATGTTGCCTTGGTTATATAAAATTAGCTAATTTAAAATAACCTTTTGTTGTTTTACCTTGCCCCCATTGCTTCATTAGAGAACTGTGATACTGAGTCTCATGGCATCTTTAACTTTGAGCATAGTTTGTGTGCCAGCTATTTTCTGACGGTGCCAACTTTTAATTTCCTTACCTTGCCTTGTGTGGTAAGTGACCTTTGAAATACCTTTCTTCACAGTCTTCCAAATCCCATGTCAGCAGGGCAGTGCTTGAACTTTGCCTTGCATTTTCAAAATACCTGAGTAATCTGCAAAATGGGATGCCGCTACTCAAGCAGTTGTGTGATCACATTCTTCTTAACCCAGCTATATGGATTCATACCCCAGCCAAGGTAAAAATGTATTCATTTTGTTTTACAATCTTTACCAAGTTTTGTACTTAAGTGATAATATGAGATTTTCTTTTTTTCTTTTGCATGCTTTTATGTAAGATTTCAGTGGATTGCATTTTTTGACCAAGCATACTGTTTTTTAGGTAAATTTGCAAGTCAGTGTATCTTTCTTTTTTTGTAAAGCAATATCAGTATTTTTTAAAAACAGGTATAGTCTATTTTCTGTTATGTGAAATAAAATTTTGTTTCAGAGAGACTTCGATTTACTAAATATAAATCAAAGTTGGACAGTTCTGATGTAAATATAATGTTTTCTATAACTGTAGTTCTGTTCTATTGCATATATATGGACATATATATGTATATATTTTTATTCTTTAACTCACCGTGCTCTCTCCCTCTCTTTGTATGTATATTCCTACCAGCATGATAAATTCCTGAGTTTAATTCTTATAGAAACTTCTGGAATGTTACCCTTTCTGAAATATTTCCGTGATACACTGGTTTCATTTTATCATTTAAATTTCACATTAATTCAAATTATTGAACACAATTATATTTGTACACTACTACTATAACAACAAACCAATTAATTCTAAGTGAACATAAGTGAGTTTGTGATAAAGTACATAAATAAAACCTTTGATAAATCCTAATGTATTTAATTGTCCTAAAAATATTAATTGTGGTAGTGTTAAGCAGAACTTAAAACAGTAATTTGTATTAAATTGCCTAATTGCATGTTTCTTACCTGCAGTTTTTGTTAGAAGATGTATTATTTCAAAGCCATTAATTCCCTCTCTCCCCCGTTCCCCTGTCCCTTTTGGTCCACTTGCAATGTTTATCATTATATAGGTTAAAATAGCACATACTTATTTTAGTTGTCAGAAAAAAACGTCTGCAGCCTTTTTTTGCTTTTCTAGAGTCATAGTATCATATTTTCAGTTGGAGTTTTCAAATGTTAAAGAGAAAACCAGCTGCTGACTCTGATTGCCATTTGGAAATCATCAGAGGAGGCCGCTGGAAGTTGCAGCTTTTTATCTCCGGGTTCAGATTTGACCTCTTTCTCCTCTATGACCCTCAGTCTTATTTCTTTTCAAGGATTGTTTCAAGTTACTTTTTAAACCTTTTAGTAGACACTTCTTTGTCTTACTAAACAGCATATTTGTAAGGCGTTGGGTCTCTTTTGATGTGGTCAAAAAGCCTCTTATTAATACTTGGTTGTAGGGAAATGTTTTTATAATTTTATTGTATCATTTCCTTAAGTTCCTAGTAATATTGCCCTCTATTTCTTACCTTTTCCTTGTTAATAATTTTCTTTAATTTCCTGTTTAGAATTTGCAATTCATTTGGTAATGTTAAACTTTCCTTCTGTTTTAGCCATCTGCTTTGTGTAGCCATGAAGGGTTACATCTACTTTTATTTTATTATAAAGGTAGTTATAGCAAAGGGCAGATCTAAAGTTTGTTCGACTTGCAGGTCATATAATTTGGGGAGGGAGGACCTTTTTCTGAAAAAAGAATACAACATAATGCCTACAAAATTAGGTTTAGGGTCTTCGAAGGCACCCGTCTAGAAGAGTGGGCATCAAGTTTAAGCTCCATTAGCTTCATGGTAAACTCACGTCTAGTTACGAACCTTGAGGGTACGGAGGTATGAGTCAACCTTTGCTTTGGAAAAGGGTGTCACAGTGATTTATAATATCCATTTATCTTTGGTCTGCTCAGAGACAGTCTTCTTATGACCTTACAAGACAGATGAATTTTCTTGTGTACAAGTAGTCCTTTATTTGTTGAGTGGCTACTTTATGCTGGGTGTATGGATGCAGCGTTGAACAAGACAGATCTAATTCCTGCCCTCATAGAATTTAGGTCTAATGGGAAAGACACATGTTAATACATAATTTGTGTGGTTATTAGATTATATAATGAGTGAATGAGGAAAGGTTTATTCATAATTAGCATTTGAGTAATCTTGAGGCCTCTGTTCTCATCTCAATATGTTGCTATTAAATCCTATCCAGTTTTCCATATTTTTCTTTATCACCTTTTGGCCAGAATTGCTGTATGTTTTTAACATATCACTCTCATGAAGTAATTTCTTAGCCCCTAAACTTGTAATGGCTTCCCATTGTTTTTAGTATAAAGTAGTCCCTTTTCAAGCATTAACTTTTCATGCCAATTCTCATTTCTAGGCTTTGCAGCCTAAAAACTCAGTTATGCTCAATGGCTAGAATGGTACCAAAATGTTACCATAGAGCAGTGGTTCTCAATCTTGGCTGTCAATAGAATTACGAAGTTTTTTTTTTTTTTTTTTTTTTTTTTAAAAAAACGATTGCATCCCCTTTACTGTAGATTCTGATTTAATTGGTGTGGGACAGGGCCCAGGTATCAGTATTTTTTTTTAATGTTTTTCAGGTATTTTAATGCACAGTCAAGACTGAGAGCCATTGTTCTAGAGCTAGGGAAAGCTTTTGTAGCATGTACCATTGTTTTCTGTTAGAAATTTCCGATTTCTACCTATTTTACTACTCATCTTCAAAGCTCACCTTAATACCTACTTTATTACTGAACATTTTCTTGACTATTTTTGTTTATCTTATAATAGTTTCTCTGGCTTCTGAATTAATAGTACTTAATATCTTTACCACTCATTTTCCAATTAATTACATCTTGCCACATAACCTTTCTTATGTTTCTGTAGGCGTCTTTATTGCCTTTGGCTTTTCATTTAAATGTCTGTGTATTTTTTACCTTAACTGGGATTCAGCTACTGAGGTTCAGTGTGTATGCCATCGTATTTCCATAATACAGTGCTATGCATATAGGTGGATATAAACATTTTCTGGTTGACTGAAATAGCACAGTTAAGAATTTGAACCATGTCATAGAAAGTGTTATAGAGCCTTAAGGACAAGTCAACTGGGCCTAACCATTTGAACAGCAGTAGATGCATCAAAGTAATGTTACCTTCAGCAAGTCACTGATTTATAGTGTATATATAATTTTCTAAATAATCATCTTCTAAGCCTCAATTTTAAGTGGTTCAAAATCTGCCACTCTTTACCATTATGGTTACTGGTTGACACTCTTTACCATTATGGTTACTGGCCTTGATCGTTTATTTAATGGGCTTCTGGATGATAGACACCTCATTTTCGCTTTCTAAAGAAATCACTGGGTACCGAGTAGGGACGAAAATGCCCTCAATGTCCCGAGAAGGTAACACAAATGGTCAGTTGTAAGTGGTCAGTAGTAGTTTGGCCTTTAGCCACAGGGAGAGTATGTATGCCCTACTTAAAGTTGTTCAGTTTATACAGTGTATCTACTAGCAGTGAAATGAAAAATTCTTGATTTCGACATGAGAGTAGGGAAAAGCAGTCCTTGTGTTATGCTGTATAAGTACTACAATATAATTACTGATGAACTTTGGAGGCAAAATTTTACTGAAATTTTGGGTTAAGATGAAATGTGCAGTGGTGGGGTACCACTTAATACCTTTCTTTTTCTTACATATTCAGAGATTATGTCTTGAAGTTAATAAGTTCTCATGTGTTTATTTAGACTATTTAGAAATAAGACTAGTAGAATCCTTTCCTAATTGGAGCATAGGGATGACAAATATGAAAGATTGTAATGTTACGATTGCATTCTTTGTAGTAATGAGCAATTATAACAGAATTCTGTTTTTCTAATAAGTATTTCTTAAGGTAGGCTTTACATGTTTTTCTATAGTTTTGTTTCTCTTAACACATTTCTACTTTTTTTCCTTTGAGCTACTCCTACTTCTTTTTTCTTTCAAGTTATTCTAGCTTCTAATTTTCTCCAAGACAGAATTTCTAAATTATTGAAACAACTATATATAGTATAAGTAGTAAGTTTATTATAAAGATGTTACACATGCTCATGAATAATTGCTGATTGCTAAATAAGAATCAAACAGTTTTTCCCATAGAATAATGCTGCAAAAATTTCAAATATTTGGGGGTGTTTATAATGGTACTGTAAAAGAAGAATTTACCTGGTTTAGTTTTATAGGGAGTGTGTGTGTTTGTGTGTATGTAGCATTGGATGTGTTATCTGTTATCATGGATGCTGTTATCAAGCTTAGCATCTTAATTTTTGGAACAAATATGGTTTAAGTAAAGCAGCCTGAAGGTATTACTGGAAATGGGTAAAACGCTGGTCTACCTCTTTGATTTAAACTCTTCATTTTAATTCTTTAGGTTCAGTTGACACTTTATACTTATCTGTCCACTGAATTCATTGGTACTGTCAACATCTATAATGCCATTCGGAGAGTTGGAACAGTGCTTCTTATCATGCACACGCTGAAATACTACTACTGGGCAGTGAACCCTCAGGATCGAAGTGGCATCACCCCCAAAGGATTAGGTGTGTCATCTCTGTTAGTATATCATGTTATACATATGGTGGATCAGGATTTCTTATTGTTTGTTCGTTTTAACCAATCTTGTTACAGTATTCTGGAAGTTTTTCTAAATCTCATAATGGCAAAATTTTGTTTTAATCTTATTGATAATTTTGATAGTTTGCCCTAAATCGTGGTTGCCAGAAGTTAATAACTTGGTACTTTCATAAAACAATACTAATTTTGCTGGTATAAATTGTTTCGGGAGCAAATATTACTAGAATGTTTGTTTTAAGACACTGAAAATGAGAAGAAATTCTATATTAGCTACTAGAATTGATGCTGAGGCCATTGTCACCACAAGATAATTGAAAACAGTGTTTTTGGGGAAACAGATTTCTTGCAATAGTAGGAAGTATCTGCCTCTAATAAATAGTAAAATGAAATTACAAAATTTCAGCGATTATTTTCCTGTATAATCAGGACTAAATTACTAGAAGGATCGTATTCATCATGTCAACAGTTCATGGAAGTGATCAATATAAAAATTTTGACAAATGGTGGCTCTTTTGGTTGTAAGTACTGCAAAATCTGCTTCAAACTGGCTTACGTCATAAAAGGGAGTTAATCAGCTCATATAAACTGCCAGTTTCAGTAAAACTTGGTGCAAGGATTGAGAATATGGTCCTTGCACCCAGTTTCTTTGTTTCCCAGTTCTTTTCTGTGGGCTCTTCTCATGTATTCTCTCTTTCTGTAGTTCCAAGCAGCCACTCTGCCTTCACATCCCCACAACTTTAAATCCGGCTAAAGAGCATCTGTCTGTACCGAGCGTTTTCCAGCAGTACTCTCTTTCAGTGTGTTTGTTGCTCATTGGCTCTGATTACATCACGTGTGGCAGGTATCCATCAGATTGCCCAGACACAGAGGCCCCTCCCACCTCCGAAACACATGATCTGAGAGTGAGGATGGGTGTTCAGTCCCTTGACAAAAATTGAGGGCTGTTGCTTGAAATCAGGAAATAGATGCTGGAGAGTGAAACAACATACGTCCTGATTGTACACAAAAGCTTTGGATGCTCAGTGATTTGCAAAGATAAGGTTTCCTATTTGTACAATACCTTTTAAATCCTTTTTCAAACACACTTGACTGCTCTCAGAGAACATTCTGTCTATAATGTAGAAGCCGTGAGGATTTGCAGAAGTCACATGATCTGTTGGGGCTGGCAAGGCTGTGGCAGATCTGGAACCAGGTCACGGTGTCCTGATGACTGTTTCATGCTGCTGCACATGCATCGTGCACTGTGCTGGGTGTTAGAGTTCATGCTGATCTTGATTGTATCACTGATTAGTGACCTTGGGAAAGTCTCATACATCAAGTCAGAGAGCTGCACAAACTTTGTGGTTCCATTGAACTCTGTAACCTATTTTTCGTCTAGGAGTTGTCATGTGGAACAAATTTTAAACAATTTTCTTCCTATTTTAATTGATGTGTTCAAGGTCATGGTGGTCCTATGCTTTGGTGGTCTAGGAACTGGCTGTACATAGTGATTAGTTGGGGAAAAATTGCAGAAAACAGGTACTAACTTAGGATCTTGGAACAATGGGTGTTTGGTTTCAAAAGCTTTCTACTTGGGAATTACATGTTTGAGACATGAAAATTGACTTTAATAGGAGCCATGTGTGACCAAGGACTTGTTCAAGATGAGATGCCAGAGGTAGTCAACATACTGTTTCGCTTCTTCATGAATGATACTGTGTTGAGTTGTACTTTTCGAGATTTTTGTGCTGGCTTACACAATGGTAGGAGATCAGTGTTTTCATGCTAAATTCACATATAAAGTTTAGATTTTCCTTTGCATTTTTCTTTGTAAACGTATGTTACCATAGTAACATTCTCAGAGTCTTTTAAAACAAAATAAAACTGCATCTTATTATTGAATACAGATTTTATTCCCTCCTTTTTATGATTTGGAACTCTTTTGACATAATTAAAAAACAAACTTCTCCAGGTAGTTTCTACATAACTCATTTTGTACATTTGGAACATTACATGTACAATTGCATATGAGATTGAACACTTATCTTTCTAGAGGCATAAAACTCTTTAGACGACTCACCTTTATGTTTCTTATAAATAAATGGAAAATCTATTGGGAATTAGAATTTTATACTTAGCTTTGAGGTCTTTGAAATACTAAGTGTGCATGTATATATGTATTTTTTTTTTTTAAGATGGACCACGGCCTAATCAGAAAGAAATACACTCTCTAAGAGCATTCCTATTGATGTTCATTAAACAATTAGTGATGAGGGTGAGTTCATATTTCTTATTCTATCGCATGTGTGTATTGTACCTTGTAATTTCAGATAAAATACAGTCTTGGTTTATTTACTATTTGCCCTGTTACTAGGGTTACACACTGGAAAATACTTTGAAAGAACTTTTTGAAAATACTTTTGAAAGAAACGTATGTTTCTCTGTTTTTGTTCATCTTTATTGCATGTAGGGATATACATTATTGCAGAACTGGAGATTGATAATCATAATTATATGAATTTCTGTAGGAGCCCAAGTGTATTTCTTATTTCATTCAGCAAATCTTTACTGAGTTTTTATTACTTTCACTATTCTTGGCACTGGTTGATGCAGTAGTCAACCAAGCTGCTCAAGGAGGTTTTATTTTTAGGGGACTCCTTCTACATGACATTCAGATATTGAGAAATAATTGTCCTGTGTAAATGTACCAGATGGATGTGTCAGCCTTTAGAAATGATTGTATTTTGTCCTACTTCATTCTACTATAGGTTAAGTAAAATTTAATGTTAATTTTAAGGAAGGTGTTTTGGTTTTATAAGATCGCAATATAAAAATGTGTTCATTGCCAGTACTTTATTCAGTATTTTCCTGTAACATTTCATTTCTTATTCTTTACAATTTAATGCTATATTATTGGGTTGTCGGAAAAGTCATGACACATGTTTGCGACAGATGGCACTAGTTCATTTTTGGAACTACTAGAGTCATTCTCTTCTATGTAATTGGTATGTCATTTGACAGCTGACAGTTCTAGCTTCATTTAAAAAAAATTGAGCGATTTGGTTGAGTTTTAGAATTTTACAAGTTGAAGATGGAAGACTAAAGTGCACTTTGGCCATATTTTACTGTTTTACTTTCATAAAGAGAAGAACGCGCTTGTGAAAAGTTGCTTGTGAAAGTTGCATAACGTTTACAGAGACAATGCTCTACAAGAACATCAGTGCCAGCGATGGTTCACGAAATTCCATGCTGGTGATTTTGATCTCAACAACGCTTCTCGGTCAGGGAGGCCCACCGAGGTTGATGATGACAAAATAAAGGCATTGATCAAGTCAAACCCACATTACACGACATGAGAGATTGCAGAAGCAGTGAACATCCATCATTCAAGCATTCACGACCACCTGGAGAAGCTGGAATACTTAAGGAAGCTCGATATTTGGGTTCCACATGAACTCCAAGCAGTTCATTTGACGGTGCGTATAAACATCTGCAATATGCTCATTAAATGTGAGGAAAACAATCCTTTTTTGAAGCGACTGATAACTGGTGATGAGAAGTGGATTGTTGACAACAATGTGGTGCAAAAATGGTCTTGGTCCCGATGTGATGATTCACCTCAAACGACATCAAAAGCAGACATTCATCAGAGGAAGGTTATGCTCTCAGTGTGGTAGGATTTTAAAGGTGTCGTGTTTTTTGAGCTCCTACCAAGGAACCAAACAATCAATTCAAATGTGTACTGTCCGCAATTGGACAGTTTGAACGAATCCATCATCCAGAAACGTCCAGAGCTTGTTAATTGTAAAGGAGTTGTATTCCATTGTAACAACACGAGACCACACACAAGTTTGATCACCCGTCAAAAATTACTGGAGCTTGGATGGGATGTGTTGCCACACCCATCATAATCTGCTGACCTTGCACCGTCAGACTTCCACTTGTTTCGCTCTCTTGAAAACTCCTTGCGTGGTATAATGTTCAATTCAGATGAGGCTGTAAATAAGCACCTTGTTCAGTTTTTTGCAAATAAAGACAGGTACTTGTATGAACGAGGAATTATGAAGCTCACTGAAAGATGGCAAAAGGCTATCGAACAAAACAGGCAATATATCATTGATTGATCTTTGTTCTTTATATAAATAAATGACCTTTGAAAAACATAGACAAAATACATCATTACTTTTCTGACAACCCAATAGCTGTCACGTGATATAATGGTAAGTGGATCTAACTTTTAGTATCTTTCAGACTCAGATACAGTATTTTCATTTATTAAAAAAATTTATCCCTTGAATTGTCTGTTTTCTGTTTTTTTCCTAATGTGTTTTTGTTTCTCAGTTATCTTATTCTTTTTTGAGATTGTATCTTTGTTTTATGATTAATAAATTGATGTAGTAGGGTGAACATCTTCATACTTAGTTCATATTTAAAAGTCCAGTGTTTTTCCCCGTGAAATTGGTACTTGATATTCAGTACTCCATATTTTGACTTGTTAATTTTAGAAACTGTTGATTTTACTCTCCAAATTTAATAGAAAAAGTAAGTAGAAAAGTTGTTTTCTGTATTTAGAGGCGTGATGGGTATGGATAATACTCTTTTATTTATCATTAATTGTTTTTGCTTACTTCAGGATTCTGTAGCTTTACTAGATACATTATCATATAAGGTGCCAAAAACAGGATATTGATGTCAGACCTCTTTTGACTTCTAAACAGCCTTGAATATTGAATACTGCGTGTTTTTAGTGCCCCAATTTTTATTTTAAATTTGATTCTGTGTTAAATTATCTTTTTTTTTATAGCAACTGACCAAGTTGACAAATCTATGTGCATGATTTCTCTTAAAAAATTTTTTTTATATCTAAGCGTAAGATACTTATATTGTGTTTTTAAAGGATTCTGGGGTAAAGGAAGACGAACTACAGTCCATTCTTAATTACCTGCTCACTATGCATGAGGTAACATTTGAATTTTCTATTTTGGGGTTTTACTTCTTGAAGCTATATTATGGGCTTTTTTTTTTTCTTTTAAAGTAAAAAAGTTAAATCTTATGCTTAATGATATAACTATAATGGGTAGTAGATGTATCTAGAATTAAATCATAGCAACCTTTATACAAATATCCTTTATTACCACAAGAGGGCTCAGAGAAATATCACAAAAGGCTGTAAAATGTATTAAAATTATATCTCACTGAACTAATTATAAAGTACACCAAAGAATGCTTTCAGCGTATTTCTAGGAACCAGTGTAACAAATGGAAAAACAGATTTTAAAATATATGACTAAGAGTGATTAGATTTTTAAGTTTGTAACAGTTTTTCTCTTGATTTTGCATGTTCAAATACTGTTAACTCATTTGTAATGAGATTTAAAATTATGTGGTTATATGGGTTTTTTTCCTTTATTTTTTTTAGCACTAGGAAAATGTAATATATGCCAGATATAGTCTAACCAAATAATCTGATTAAATGTGTTTTAAATAGGTAAACTTTGGAAATTGGAATTTCATGTAAAGCACACCGTTTTAAATGATAATTTACATTCTTGTGTTACAATTCATGTCTTGTGAATTAATAAATATGTTACAAGTTGAAATAGTGTCTTCTTTAATCATTAATAAATGAGATAGATTTGGACTTATCTTTGTTAATTGGGGCAGAAAAGAATGATTACATTTTTTGATGGGATAACCTTTGACTCCAATGTTGATGATTATAAGTTCTTTCTCTGTTGAATAAGGTATTCTATTTTCTTTTTAGATTTCCCTGAAATCTAAATGTAATAGTTGAGGATTTTCAGTTGAATTTCCTGGTAACCTGTTGTGTGTGATTTTGTTTTTTTCTTGTTTTTTTTTTTAGCTGAGCCATCCTGCTGCCTATTGGCAGCTCAGCGGCAGCTCAGCTCGGGCCGGGACTCGAACTGCTGTTGCTCAGAGCTCAAACTCTTGAGCGAGCTCTTAACCAACTGAACCACTAGGCCGGCCCCCTGATTTTGTTTTTTTTATCAACACTAAAGGACTCAGATATAAAAGAGAAACTGGAAGTCACAGGAATCTTCTGTTTTCTCTGAGTCTGTTAATTCAGGGATCTTTCTGGTCCTTCAGATAAGACTTTTCCAAAGCCTAAGTGCTCCAGCTTAGATAATTTACTTAACATAGTGAAAATTGGTAGCTTAAGTACCCACCACACCAAAAGATCAAAAGCCATGAATGAAAACCTAGAGGCAGGCAGCAGAGATACCTAACTGCCGCTTCCTTTTCCCTCTTTGGGTCAGCATTGCCCAAGTTGTCCCTAATGACATGCATACATACTGAAATATCCAAGAAAGGTGAATATTTGTTGAAAAGTGAAGCGTTTTCTTGAATTTTTATTTTAGAACTTATAAATGCTCCTGTGCTATTCTGTAAATGTTATCAAGTTATCATAACATACAGTAGTATGTTGACTCAATAAACATTTATTGATATCTGTATCATTAATACTGAAACTATCGAGTCATCATCTTTCAAAAAGTCTTCTTTTGGGACTAGTTTCTTGAGAGGTGCAGTGAACAAAGTGGTTCAGGTTAATTTTAGGAAATGGTACATAGAAATGATAGCATTGCCCCCAACACCAGCACCAGATTCACAGCATCTGTTAGCTCAAGGCTGTATTATGTCTTGTTGTAATAAAAAAGAACTACGTAGTTCTCCCAATTTCTTGATGTATTAATCTTCCTTTAAAAAAATCCTGTTAAGTCATATTTACTATAGCTATAGAATATGTTTTAGGAAATCTTGGTATAGTATAACGTGAGGCATTTTATTTCTTTAATTAAATTATTTGGTGATGTGTATTTTTAGTTATACAGACAAATATGTACATGTAAGGAATCAATTTGTTAAAACAACTATAATTGTATACATGTCTACTTATTTCTTTAAAGTTGAAATTTCTATTGTTTCAGAAGTATTCAGTATTCAGATAAGTTGTGTTTTTATTATTTTAACATTTTTTTCTAAAATTATTTTAGGATGACAATCTAATGGATGTCCTACAACTGCTTGTTGCATTAATGTCAGAACATCCTAACTCTATGATACCTGCTTTTGACCAAAGAAATGGGTTACGGTAAGAGTTTTTACATATCAAGATTTTTAATATGTTTAATAGCAGAGATTAGTTGGGAAATGATAGCCTTAGAAATGAAAAGTATTGCTGGGTTTATATTATAAAATGAGTTAAGATATAAGAACCCTTTTTGCCATATGTTTTTTGAAGAAATCTTTAATTGTGCAGGCTCTTACTATTCTTGAGGAGAAATTAGGTAAATCATTCCACTGTTGTGTAGCTAGTGCTAGTATACAGATGTTGTGAGGCCTAATTGTTTAGCAACCTAACCTTCCAGTCCCGCAATAGTAGTGTTCAATTGTGGTCTTTATAACATCACTTCCTCCACCCGCAGTCCCAACTCACCATTTTATTAGTGTACTCAGCCTGCTAGTAACGAAATACCTTGGACCAGGTGGCTTGAACTACAGAAATTTACTCTCTCACGTTACTGGAAATCCAAGATCAAGGTGACAGCAGGGTTGGTGTCTAGTGCGGGCTCCCCCTTTGGGTGCAATAGCCGCCTTCTCACTGTGTGTTCACAGGACCTCTCTTTCATGTACGCACAGACAGAAGGAGAGAGAGACCAAGCTCTTAGGTTTCTGTTTTATAAGGACTCTAACTAATCCTATTAAATTAGGGACCCACCTTATTGCCTCATTTAATATTAATTACTTCCTTAGAGGCCCCATCTCCAAATATAGCCACACTGGGGTTAGGGCTGTAACATATGAATGGGGGGGCACACATTCAGTGCATAACAATCATCAACTTTGAAACAATACTTTTGTTTTAATTAGAAGGTTTTGGGCCACAAAAGTTTAGTAACTACTTTGTTGCATGATCAGCTACAGAAACTAATTTAATGATCTAGTTATAATAAATTTCCCACATCAATCCTTTGTTACAAATCCTTTATTTGGTATTGCTGAACACTCATTTTTTGTAAGATAGAAGATGACTTTATACATTATACTTAAGGAGTGTATTTTCAGAGTTCTCCAGAGAAACCAGAACCAAAAGGGCGTGGGAGAGAGAGAAAGAGAGAGAGAGAAAGAGAGAGAGAGAAAGAGAGAGAGAGAGAGAGAGAGGGAGAGGGAGTGTGTGTGTGTGAGAGTGTGAGAGAGAGAGAGAGAGAGAGAGTGTGTGTGTGTGTGTGTGTGTGTGTGTGTGTGTGTGTGTGAGTCAGAGAGAGAGAGAGAGAGAGGGAGAGAGAGAGAGAGAGAGAGAGAGANGAGAGAGAGAGAGAGAGAGAGAGAGATACTGAGATTTATTTTAAGGAATTGGTTCATTCAATTGTGGAGGCCAACAAGTCCAAACTTTGCAGGGTAGCCTGGCAGGCTGGAGACCCAGGTAAAAGGGTGAGTGGATGCTACAGTTCCAGTCCAAAGGCAGTCTGCTGGCAGTTGTCCCTCTTCCTCTAGGGAGGTCAGGTTTTTGTTTGTTTTAATATTAAGGCATTCAACTAATAGGACAGGGCCCGCCCACGTTATGGAGGGTGATCTACTTTACTCAGAATCTATTGATTTAAATGTTAGAGTAAATGCTTGCCTCATAGAATGATTTGGGAGTATGCCTGCTCTTCAGTTTTCTTGAAGAGTTTGTATAGAGTTATTATTCTTTAAATATTTGCTAAAATTTACCAATGAAGTTCTTCAATTTTCTTCATAGGGATATTTTTAGCTACAAATTCAATTTCCTGAACACATATAGGGCTATTTTGGTTAGATGTTTTTTGTTCGATGAGCTTTGGTAAGTTTGTATCTATAAAGGAAATTTCTATTTCATCTAAATTGTTAAATCTATTGGTCTAAAGTTGTTTTTATTTTCATTCAAATATCTGAACAGCCTGTAGTGATGTTATCTCTCTCGTTTCTGATACTAATAATCATCATCTTTTTTTTTTGCCAGATCAATCTGGTTAGAGATTGATCAAATCTATTGTTTGTCACTGTTTTGGACCTTTCTTGTTGAATATAGGTGATTAGTGCTATCAGTTTCTTTCTAAACACTTTTAGTTTTAATCTTGTTTTCATTCAGTTAAAAATCCTTTCTTTTTTTTTTTTTTTGTTTTGTTTTTATTTCTCATTTTATCCATGTGTTATTTAGAAGTGTGTTCCAGAGATATTTTTATGTTTGAATTTTAATTTAATTCCATTGTGGTCTATGAGCATCTTTGTATGGCTTGAATCCTTTTAAATTTGTTGACATTAGCTTTATGAATACGATATACCTGGGTAAAACTTCCATGTGCACTGGAAAAGTACATATCTTCTGATGTTGTTGGATGGAGTGTTCTATAAATGTCAGTTAGGCTAACTTAATAATAGGGTTCTTTAAATCTATGCCATTACTGACGCTTGATCTACTTGTTCTGTCATTTATTGAGATATGATTATTGAAATCTCTGACTATATATTTAAAATTTTTTCTTTTTAGTTTTTTTTTCATTTTTTTGCTTTCTTGTATTTTAACTCTGAGACTAAGTACATCTGTATTTAGGACTGTTATGTTGTTTTGGAGAATTGATGCTTTTATAACTGTTTTTTAGTTTCAGTTGTTATATGTAGTTTACAGACTTAAAGGGAAGAAAAAACTTTTAAAAAATATATATTTTCAATTTCTTTTGCTCCTCCTTCATTCCTGAAGAACTTTATAGCATTTGTGTTGAGCGGTTCTCTTGTGAACATAGTTTCTTAGTTTTGTTTCCCAAAATATTTTTATTTGGCCTTCATCACCCCGGGATATTTTTGCTGCATGTAGAATTCTGTGTTTCTAGTTTTTTCCTTTTAGCAGCTTAAAATGTTTCCCACTGTTTGTTGGCCTCCATGGTTTCTAATGAAAAATTTATGGCAATTCAAGTCTTTCTTTTCTAAATATAATGTCTATATTTTTGTACTTGGTTTGAAGTTTCGGCCCCCACCTTCTGCAATTTCATTATGCTTTTCTTTATCACAAAATTTGAGAAATTTTAAGCTCTTATTTTCTTTTTCTTTTCTTTCTTTCTTTTTTTTTGTTTCACTTAATCTTTCTTCTGTAAATATGTATGTACTTTCCCATTTAGGTAGCTATGTGAGAAGTTATTTCAGTCCTTCTGTGACTTTTATTTTTACCATCTCTCAAATTTCTTTCTGGTCTGCTGCTCACCTTCAATTGTGATTGCAATCTTATCTAGCAAAGCTGTGGGTTTTCCCCTTTCATTCATAACCCAGTCTGCCACTTTTTGCCGAAAAACTGGAGGATTCATTCCTTAACTCTGAATGAGTCAAGTCTGTCCCACTGAAAGCAGCACTGTTGCTTTTTGCTGCCAGCCCCAACTTGGTGAAACTACACTTCTCACCAATTGAACTGGGGTATTGGTTTGCGAGTTAGCTCCACTGACTCTTTTTTTTTTAAATTTATTTTTATTTATTGTGAAAAGATTTTTTTTAAATTGGTTTCAGCTGTACAACCCAATGCAATAGTTATACTTTTTAACCCTTCAAAGTGACAACCCCTCTCCCCCAATCTGCCGCCCCACTCCCCCTCCAATATCATACATATCTATTACAATTCCATTGACTCCACTCCCACACTATACTCCATGTCTCATGACTATATATATTCAATTATAGTTGACATACAATATTATACAACATCATCTTCAGGTGTACAGTGCAGTGATCAAGCCTCTACCCCATCCATGAAGTGGTCTCCCTAACAAGACATGTGACACCCTACAAAATATTTACATTATTAATTATATTCCTCAAACTGCCTTTCATATCCCTGTGGCAATATTGTAGTTACCTATTTATGCTGTCTAACCCCTTCCCCTTCTCCCTTATCCCCACCCCCCTCCCAACCAACAGCCATCAGTTGTTCCTCTATATCTCTGAGACTATTTCTCTGCTATAAAGAATGAAATCGTACCATTTGCAACGATATGGATGGACCTAGAGACTATTATGTTAAGTGAAATAAGTAGCCAGAGAAAGACAAATACCATATGATCTCACTTATATGTGGAACTGAATGAACGAGCAAAGTAAACAGAAATAGTCTCCACTGACTCTTAATTTCTTACCTCAATCTGTAGGTATGTAGATTGGTTAGTAGGTAGATAGGAAGGTAGGAAGGAGAAAAGGAAAGAAAAAAAAAGAAATGAGCAGAGAAAGAAGAAACTTGACACATATCATCGAGACGCATATCATCGAGAAGACAGAAATCTGGAGATAGGACAAGGCAAATTATTGAAGAGACAAAAAGCCAATAACCTATGAAAAAACAGAGTCCAGGGCCGGCCGAGTGGTGTGATGGTTAAGAACTCGCTTGGGATGCCAGAGGGCCCCGGTTCGGATCCCACATATGAAGGCCAGTGACACTGCCCTCTACAGCTAAGATGCTGAACAACGGCTCAACCTGGCGCTGGGCTGCTGTGAGTCTCCCGCAGTCCCTGTGGCAGTGGGTTGCCATGGGCTACCGTGTGTAGCCAGCAGCCAGCGTGAGCGGCCAGCAGCCGCAGTGAGCGGCCGTCCAGAAGC